GAGAACTGAATCAGAGGACCCGGGGGTATTTTCCCGGTGGGGACTCTCCGATGCCTAAGTTAGCATTCTGATTGTAGGGAGCTTGGAGAGAAATGGGAGAGCTAGAGAGCAGGGATTACCTCCATTTTTCCATTCTCTCCCCCTTGTTTTTGGGGGTCGGAGTCCTTATATAGTGGTGTCCTATCAAATCAGGCGTAACAGCCTCTGTCAAATCAGGCATAACCGCCTCTATCTCTCTACCGCAGCCGTTACTGCCAGAGCTGAAGTGGTGGGTGCAGGCAGCTATTGCAGAGTACGACTCTGCCAGGCAGGGACAACTCTCAGGGCTGGCAGGCATGGCGTCGCCTGGTGAGAGACATGGGCGCAGGTCTCCGGATCTGTTAGGTATGGTTGTCAGGCATGAGATCTTCCTGCGATATGTCAAACTGCTCTTCTGTACCGAGCTACCCTACAAGTGGCGAGCTACCTATGGCGAGCTGCCTAGGGGTGGAGCTATGTCGAGCTGCCTGTGGCGAGCTCTGCCGAGCTGCCTGTGATGAGCTATGCTGAGCTGCTTGTGGCGAGTTGTGGCAATCTCTGCCGAGCTGCCTGTGGCGAGCTATGGCAGGCTCTACCGAACTGCCTGTGATGAGCTATGCTGAGCTGCCTAAGCTACCCAGTTGTTAAGAGGTTACACTTGGCTTGCATTAGGTGCCAGGTGTCACAATTTCAGTGGAGGGCCAAATTCGCTCTCATCAATTTCATACTTCAATGACTAAAGATATTATCATATTCATTTAAATTTTCTGAGACAGCAATTTTTGTTTAACTTGGATTAAAACCCTTTAATAGTCTTGATTGAAAATATTACTAAACAAATATTCCTCGTAGTTTTGCCTTGCATAATAAAGAAAAAGAAATGGCTATGAGGGCCACCTGGAATCATTGAATTGTTTATCATATGGGGCTGTATGAAGCTTTTCGCATGTTCCAACAATCATGATGGAGGTAATTGTCATGAAGCTTTTTGCATAAAAGCTTTTGAATCGAATAACAGATGGAGGTAATTGTCAGCAATGTGAGAAAACTTTTGGGTCGAATAAAAATTTTGGAATCAAGTCTAGTTGGTCGGTTCATTAATGCAGATCCTGAAGGGGAAGAGGTTTCAAAGTAGGTTTGTTCAAATTGGAGGTTGAAAAACAAGTTTAAGTTAGAAAACTTTTACATGGGATTCTTCCTTTTCATTTTGAGTTACAAAGATGAAGCAGAGGAAGTACTTTGGCAGGAATCAAATAGAGTCTGTTTGCCTGAGCTTAGATTGGGGAGATGGAATCTGTTAGAGTCGGCTGTTAAGGGGTAGTCTGGTCATTTTGCCTTACCTTAAGTTTGTATTGTAATGTCTTTTATGGTTTACTTTAAGTGCTATGTCCCATAATTAGGCGCGTAACTGTCTTTGTAACTAATTAGAAACATATAAATAATACTTGGCTGACTAGAGAGAGTGATCTTTTCTATCTAGTTCGAACCAATCTTGTCCTCTCCCATCTATCCTCTTCTCTCTCTGCTCCTTTTTATTTATCATTATAGGACTGAAACCAGTGCAAAACCGATTTGTAACATGGAATCAGAGCCTTGGTAATCAGTCCAAGGTCAACCCAATTTCATCGCCTTCTACCCTATTTCTCTATAGAGATCTCATTGATCACTTGGAGAATCACAGAGCGGATGTGATTGTTCATGTGAGTTGGATAGCAGCTACAGTGGTAAGATGAGGAGAGTTGTGGTGAACGTCGGGAGGATTGGGAAGATGGAGGAGCGGATGTTGGTTCTGCAGCGAGATTGGTGGGAACAAGGTTCAAAATGTCGATACGCCGGATATGCCAATATGAGCATATGGGGCAAATCGATACTGTTTTTTAGTTTTTTTTTTTTTTTTTTTTTCTGAAACCGGTTCAGGGGCCACCCGTGAACCAGTCAGACCCGCGATACACCCACTATACGTATCGGCCGATGGATAAAAGGAGATGGATAAAAGGGATTTGATGCCTGGGTAAAGCTAGAGCGGGGAAGAGAGGTCTTGGGAGTGAAGAGATTGAATGCAGAACTATGGTTAACGTTTCAGTCCAAGGAAGTCACAGAAGAGGTTTTGTAAGGGGAGCAAGAAAAAGAGAGGGCCATAGACCTCAGGTTGGGCTGGTGTTTCCTGGTGGTTGGAGAGCTAAAGAAAGGAAAAGCAAATTACATGACTTAGATTGGCATTGCAAGGATACCCCTCCATGCGTGGAGCATACTTATCTTTGAATAAGTGGGTGCAACGTGCAGTAGATTCCTTAAGTTCGACGACCGCAATAGAACGTGGGAAAAGATGGACTTAGCTAGGATTCTGGTCAAGGTTGAGAATCCTGTAGATATTCCTAGGAAGCTGATTCTGGAGTTTGCAGGGGAGGAGTATGAGCTGAGAATGTTGGTAGAAGAGGTCGATGAATCCTTTTGTAAAGAGGAGAGGTCACATTATAAGCACAGAGAGAAAGGGAGGTCAGAGGGAGAGACAGGGTGCTCGAAAGCTCAGGGGAGCGTAGAGGCGAAAACAGGGGAAAGGCAGGAGATAGAAAGGGAGTCAAAGAGTCAGGCGAGGGAAGAAGGAAATGCTGAGAGGGAGCCGAAGAGTCGAGGGGAAGAGGTTGATGCTGAGTCAGATTCAAGTTTAAATGGGAAGACACACGTGGGCGAAGGGGCAGCTAGAAAGGACGAAGAGGGGGACAGTTTATCCCAAGAGCAAGCCTTGTTTTACCTCTTCTGCTTCTACACCTGCTGGGGAATTGGTAGCAAAAAAAAAAAAAAAGCATCCAAGCTGCTATAAAAGAACCTCTGCTGTCTCTTATCACCACACCAAAAGAACTTTTTGTTCTCCAAAAATCCTCCATCAGTATTGATTTTATAATAGTCATTTACTGGTGGCATCCATGTTGATATTTGGGTTCACAGATTTGACCTTCTAGTCTTGAGCCATTTCAGACTTTCACATCCCAAAGTGATAGTTCTCCCCAACTTCCTCCTGCAAAGATCAAGAAAATATTTTAAAGGATCAACTGTAACATTTTCAAATATTTCTTTATTGCATGCGTTCCCCATCGTCCGGGCTATGCCAGAGAACTGTGAAGCAGTTTCAATTTTTCCATGTTTTTGGTCAATGATTGCCTTGAAACATGCAGAAAAAGAGTTAAAAGCAGCCATTCTGAGACTCAACAAGCTAGCAAACCATAAATACTAAGAATTATCACACACAAACTGGATTAAAAGTTTATTTTTATTCCTAGTGACAGAGAGAGCAAATGGCATTTGAAATAATGTGCCTTTCAGAGTGGTTTAGTTTACCACAATGGCTTCAAGTCAGGCTCGCCAGATAAAGAATTTGATTTATGGCCGACGAGGGAGGTTACAGAGAGAGCTCTAATGGGACTTTGACAGGGATGGGATGCTTCTAAAATTTGATCTTTGGTTCTCGCTATTCTCATATTCCTATTTATTTGCCAAAAAAAAAGGCAGATTTAACAGTAAAGATACCATTGGGTTGAGGATCCACACTAATTTTTCATGCAGTCAAAACTTGCCAAACTTATTTTTTGAATCTCTTCACATTACATTGGACACAGAAGATTTTCCAACAAATCCTGCCTCCAAATTCAGGTAGCTTCTAGCCTTTAAATTTTAGCCCAGAAAACACATGAAAAAAATATGCACAATTTTGCCTTGTAGCATGTCTTTTCATGAGTGAAAAGGAGACCCACAATTACTTTGGGAGAAGCTCCAAGAGTCCATAATGGATTTGTTTCCTAGCATTGTTTTTTCTCTCTAAATATTACACCAATGCAAGGGTAGCGACCTAAAAGTTACATTAAATTAAAAAGTAAAAGAAACACCAATAGGGGATCATTACTTACCTCTTGTCTAGACAGGTTCCACTGGAATTCCTTTTATAGCCTTTCCTGTTTACCATTAATGAACTCAAACAAACAAACAAACAAACAAAATAAAACAAAAAGGATAATTAACTTGAGGATTTTTACCTCAAGAATTAATTGGTGCTGTGGTATTGTCAGAGGTGATAGAATGCTGGAGTTTCTATTATGAACCTGACTTTGTGGTCTTGAGCTTTCAATTTACCATATCTATCTCCTCAATATATACATGATTGATGTGTGATATTTTTGCCCAATCTTCTCCTCCCTCTTGGCACCTATATTTTAGTTCATCAGAGCATTCCCCAATAAATAAACTCTGAAGGCTAGTTGGCAGCCCCTTCTCTGGCAAAGACATTAGATTACAACAACGGGCAAGAGACAACTTTTCAAGAGAAACTAGACCATGCAAATTCTTAGGAAGTGACTTCAATTGATCAATTCCACGTATGTCAAGATGCTTTAGTATTGGTGGTAGACACTCATCTTCCTCTGGAAACAATACCAATTGAGTACAATCCAGAAAACAGATTGACTCTAAGAAGGAAAGTTTGCAAAGTCCACTGGGTAACGACTTGAGATTATTACAATCGATTATCCTTAAACATTTTAGCATGGGTGGAAATACCCTATCTTCATCTTCTAGGAATGATATAAGATGATCACATCCACTGATAGTCAAATCATCAAGAGAAGTGAGTATCTGCAATCCAGTAGGAAAGTATGCAAGTCTAGGAAAATCTCTGATTGACAGACTTCGGAGAGAAGCAAGTGATTGTATTGCTTGTGGTAGGGCGGTTGAATCACTAGATCTCAATGCCTCCAGAAATGGAAAAGAAGTGTTCTGGTGCTCCCAACTTAATATTCTCTCACTACAATCCTTTAATTTAAGGTCAATAATTGATGGAAACCTTGGAAGAGAAGTCAAATCATAACACTTATCTATTTGTAGTTCTTTTACAGTAGGAAGAAATGAAGAGATCTTCCTCAGCTTTGGGCATTCTATGATTTGAAGACTTTCAAGGCAAGGAAATTCATAACCATCATCATCATCATCATTTTTCCCGCACAATTCCTCTAAGCCAGTCATATTTTCAAGTTGTAAATATTTTAACCTCTGAAATCCCTTAAGATCACCATTACCATAAATTTCTTGGCACACTTTCTCCACTTTCGGCATTCCGTGTATCTTAAGGGATTCTAGCAAGGGTAACTGCCCAAAGGGTGGAAGAAACTTGCATTGTCGGCAATTGAAAAGATGCAGAGAGACTAGATTACTACATCCCATGATGTCTACCATCATCCAATCTGGAAAATTTAAGCCAGGGTAGCCAGAAATTTCAAGTCGCTTCAACCATTGGTGTGGTTGTAAAACCTTAAGTACAACCTCGGCACTTGCTTCACACTGTACATAGTCACCATATTTGCTCCACTTTAACACCAAATCATTAATCTTTCCATGATGCTTCAAATTGACATTCTCATACTCAATGTTTACTACGTTTTCTAGATTAAAAATTTGAAGTTTTCCCTCAAGTTGCCTCAACTCTTTTAACTCCCCTATTCTGAAGCCATCATTTTGACGCACAAAAAATACTGGCAATGTCTTAAGGTATTTTAACCTCCCAATGTCTGCTGGTATGCATTTTTCCCAAATGTGGTTATCCATCACTAATTGTTGGAGGTTGATGAGATTTGACATGTTTTTGGGCAACTCGCCAAGGGCATTGCAACCTTCAAGATTCAAAATTTGCAAGTTGTAAAGGTTACAGATTGACTTAGGCAATGTTTTAATATGACTGCCACAAAGGATGATGTGCCGTAGGTTTTTCAAATTGCCAATATCATTTGGCAATGCCCCAAAGGCATTGCAACTTCTAAGGTTCAGTATTTGCAGATTATAGAGGTTACAGATTGATTCAGGCAATATATCAATATGACTGCGACAGAGGATAAGGCACCGTAGTTGCTTCAGAGTTCCAATTGAATTAGGAAGTCTTACACTCTGAAAATAAGACAAATCCAACACACGCAGGAATCTCAAATGTTCTAATACATCATCAACTTTTACACAGTCCAAGTAATGTGAAAAAAGTGTGGATGATCTCTTAAATTTATAGAGTTCTTTTCTTATGCTGTCCAATTGATGAGGCCAAACAAGTGAAACATGACGAACCATCTCGATATTGTTACACAATTTGTCTCTCCATTCGAAAGCACATTCCCCTTGAAACTGACTGCTAAATCATGCATAAGATCATGCATCACAAAACAGGACTGATCCTCGCTATTTTCTCCCTTATATTGAAAGAAAGACCTGTTGAGTAAATCATCAAAATATTGTCCACCAATGTCTTCAATTCTTCTAGCATCTCTAGATTTCACAAATCCTTCAGAAATCCAAAGTTGGACTAAATGTTCCTTTTCAAATTTATAATCCTTGTCAAATAATGAGCAATATGCAAAGCACTGCTTGAGTTCTGATGAAAGGTGATAATAACTCATCCTTAAAGCTGATAAAATGCCATCTTCTTCTATGTCCCATATATCACTTTTGATGACAGACTTCCATTCATCTTCATCTGATTTGCCTTGTAGAAGGCCTCCAAGTGTGTTTATTGCTAAAGGCAACCCTTGGCATTTTTCTACAACTTTTCTACCAACGGCTTCTAAGTTGGGATGTTTATCGCAATTCTCTTCAAGAAAAGCATGTTTCTTGAACAATGACCAACTATCTGCACTTGACAAACCATTCAAATAATGGGTTCTAATTGTGCCCATGACAGATGAAACTTTAATGCTCCGAGTGGTTACTAAAATTCTACTCCCTTCTTTTGTCAACAAAAATGGAGTTCGCAAGGCATTCCAATTACTACGGTTTTCATTCCACAGATCATCCAACACAATTAAACTTCTCTTCCCACTTAGTCTTTCTTTAAGTTCAGTTTGAAGTAAATCTAATTGCTGGAGATGATCAGTTGATGTTTTGGTTATTGAATTTAGAATTCCCCTAGTTAGTTTTTTGACATTAAATTCCTGGGAAACATAGATCCATACTTTTACATCAAAATGGCTTTGCACATCTGAATCATTATAGACGAGTTGGGCAAGTGTAGTCTTTCCTAGGCCCCCATACCAACTATGGAAATCACAGAAACACTTCCTTTCCATTATATTGATCAGATAATAGCATGTTCTTTATGAGCATTGTATCTTCCTCTCTTCCGAAAACATCAGATATGTCTAGTAAGGATCCCATCTCACTTGATGAGTTGCTTGGTAATCTCTTAAACAATTTATGCACACTAGCTTCTGCTTGAAAGTAGTGTTTTCTCAGCTTCTTTTCAACCTCAACTAGTTTTTCGTAGAATTTAGTTATGAATGTTGCAATATCGTCCTTCCGTAACATTCTATTTCCTTTCAAAGAAAACGAGTGAAACGAGGGTACCTGCTTGTGGTTCGTGCTTGGAATACTTTCATCTTTCTCTTTCAGAACTTCGTAGATGAATTCATCCAGTAAATCATCAGTACAATAAGCACTACTTCGAAGAAATTCAAGATGAACTCTCAACAGACCATCCTTTCTTTGCTTCTCCTCCAAGACATCGATCATCGCGTAGATCCTGCTAGCCGTATCATACAGTTGCTTCAACTCTATTTCAACACCCCACTTTGATCCAAAATCATGTAGCATCGGTGATTTCAATTTATCAATTATCACCTGAATTTGAGGAGATACGACTATGTCCTCGCCTCCTGTCATAGCTTTCCCCTTGTAGAAAGATCAAAGGATCCAAATAGGTAAACCTTTTAGCGTTTCTGGTGAAAATGTTCAAACTTCAATATGAATGAAAATATAAAGGCCAAGGGCACCACATTGACTTCTGATTCTTTCACCGGTGAAAAAGGAAAAAGAAAATGGTAAATTGCAAATTAGTACGGGGATAGTCTCACTTTTTTACTCCATCAGGGCCTAAAACAGAAAATCATGCCCACTAAGAACTCACTTCTTCAGATTCAAGGCGGGGTCATTACAGCAAATCAAAGGTTTGTGCAAGGCTACGACACTGCGTAGCAAATGTGCGTTGGAAAAACAAAAAGGTCAATAGCATTTTTCAAAAAACGACTCACTAAATGCCACGTTAATATCCCTAAAATCAATTTTGCATATTTGTTTAAATTTTTACAATATGTACTTCTGGATTGTAAAATAGTTGAAGGCGATGGTCCTTGACGGATGGTCTCTCCCCGGCGATGAATAATGCGAATGAGAAGAGATGGGGGTTCAAGAGAAAACTAAATTGAAGTGATTGAGGAGGCAAGTCCGAGTTCTTCGATGAGGGAACTCAATCGAACGATTTTAAAGTTCGGGAAGTGTACGAGAAAGTGAAGTGAAAGCTAGAGCAGATGATGGAGATGGAGAAGCAAAGAATGGAGTTTTCTGGGGAGTTGAGTTACAGAGGTTGCGGTTCTTCATGAAGACCTAGATCGAATTGTCTCATCTAGAACACAAAAGAAGGGTTATCTCATCAGCAATGGTCGTCGGAAGTCGGAACAATAATAACAGTGGATAGAACCCTCATTAAATGAATCCCTTGTGTAGGGTTGCCCATTACTTATGCTTTTGTTGAAACCCAAATCAAATCAAACAAGACTTACCCACAAAAACGGTAGCAATTCTATTTCAGATACAGATCGACTAAAGGAGTTATAATGTTATATCCATGTAAATCAAAGTGGAAAAGACAGATAGATTACTTGGTCAAACTCAAACACATTAGCAACTGAGTTCTGTTTGCCAAATCAAAAGTAGTGGTTGAATTTCAATTGAGTTTTGCATTCACAAATCACGTGTTTATTTGGACTATGCTCGTATAGGATCTTGAGATGCTGTAACTGAAATTGCATCTTTTTTTTTTTTTTTTTTTGTACTTCCTTGAGTTGAAGGGAGGTATTTCCCCATTTTTTGTTTTTCCTTTTTCCACTCTCCTCTCTTAGTTTTTGAAATGGGTTTTGGGTAGTTTCCACTCTTGGGACAAGTCACTCCCAAACTCAGAACCCTCTTGGGAGTCAGGCCTCATCCCGCGGGAGAGAAAGGCAAGTCACTCCCCCCACTTCGCAGCATGTAGTCAGGTCGAGGGACTCTCAACCAACCAGACCCGTATCACCTCGGCCTTCGCAGTTCAAGATCCCGCTCGTTGAGAACCAGTTCGAGGTCCTGGCTGCGGATTATAGACAAGGCCCTTCGATCCACAGCCATCGGCAGCAGTCCGAGCCACTCCCTGGGCTTACTGTGCCCAACAACACAGAGGACAGCAGCACTAATGCAGAGCCAACAAAGAAGCAGTGGAGACATCGCCGAGCTCGCCGAGCTACAGCCCAGCGCCTGCCCGAACTCCCCAAAGAAGAGGTGAGCTCAGGAGTAGTGAAAGTCACTCGCTCCTCTCTGTGAACTCCTGGCCGTCCCAATGCCCCAAGACTTCAAGGTACCTCCCCTGGACAAGTATGATGGATCATTCGACCCAAATGATCACGTAGATGTCTTTCAGTCGCAGATGCACTTAGCTGGGGCGAGTGAGTCATGCATGTGTGTAGCCTTCTCCACCACATTCAAGGGAGTAGCTTGCACGTGGTATAGGAACCTTGTGCCTGGAACAATCAAGAGTTGGGCACAGTTCGTGCAGGTTTTCACCTCCCACTTTGTCTCTAGCAAGAGATGCCCGATGACCCAAGAAAGCCTCCTCGGCATAGTCCAGAGGAAAGGGGAGTCCATCCGCAGCTACATCAAGAGATTCAATGATGCGTGCCTGTAGATACCTGATCTGGACCCTACGGTGAGGCTCACAGCAGCCAAGAGGAGGCATAACGCACAAGGAGTTCAAGTGGCATGTGGTTGTCAACAGACCTAAGGATGTAACTGAATTCCTCAAGCTCGCGGACCAATTCATCGAAACGGAGGAGGAGATGAACCAGAAGAGCGAGAACCCGCCTGAGAAGAGGAAAGAGAAGGTGAGTCCTCGACCCACGAGGACAGCAAGAAGAAGAAAGAACTAGCTCGAGGAGGAAGGCCATATCAGTCTTTCCGAGCTCCTCCAGCCGAAAGGCCGAACTACACACCATTGAATGCGAAGCGAGCTGAGATCCTCATGGCAATCAAGGACACGCCATACGTGAGGTGGCCACCTCGGCTGAGAGGAGACCCAAACTCTAGAAATAAAAACTTGTATTGTCATTTTCATAAAGATCATGGTCATAGCACCGAAATTTGTAAAAACCTCCGCAATGAGATAGAAGAAATCATCTGTCGTAGGATGGCAGGGGGAGTAAGGTAGAGACGCTCCCGAGTCTAGTAGCAGGCAAGGCAAGTAGCCGTAGAGGCCGCCACTCGAAGAGAGGCCAGTTCGGGGAACAATCCACATGATCACCGGTGGATCGACCATCGTGGGTAGGGCCTCGATTCGCGAGATCAAAAGAGAACAGAATCCCCGAAGCGACTGAGGACGGAGGAGCCGATTTTCTTCACCGAAGACGACACACACGAAGTCCACTACCCTCACGATGACGCGCTCGTCGACTCTAGCAGCTCGGTGGACATCCTCTTCAAAGCTGCGTTTGACAAGCTTCAGCTTCAGGAAAGCGACCTCAAGCCCGCAGGCACTCCCTTGGTGAGCTTCAACGGAGAGGAAGTCAGGCCCTTGGGGAGGATTTCCGAACCAGTAGAGGTCGGCACCTGGCCTAGCATAGTGAGGCTCAACCACAGCTTTTTGGTGATCACAACTCCCTCCCCGTACAACGCCATAATAGGTCGGCCCATCACCCATGCTCTACGTGCGGTGGTCTCCACCTATTATTTGGTCATGAAGTTCCCCACGGACTTCAGAGTTGGGGTAGCGCGAGGCGATCAGGTCGAGTTTCGCAAGTGCTATGATGCCACCCTCAAAGGAAAAGCCAAGGTAGTAGATGACCTCGAGCTGGAGTGACCTGCGGAGCACTATGAAGAGCGTGTTGCACCCGTAGAGGAGACGGGTTTCATGCCTACTTCAACAGAGGACCCAGTTTGGACTCTCCAGATCGGCGCTTCAGTTGAGGAGCCTCTACGATCCCAGCTGGAAGTAGAGACAAGGTATCATGAGATCGAAAAGTTGGCGTATGTGCTAGTTATTGCAGTTTGAAAAATTCAACCGTACTTCCAAGCTCATACGATCGTCGTCCTCACCAATAAGCCTCTAAGGCAAGTCTTGCTCAAGCCCGAGGTCTCCGACAGATTGATGAAGTGGGCCATCGAACTCAATGAGTACGGCATACAATACAAGCTGCGAACTGCCATTAAGGCCCAAGCCTTAGCTGACTTTGTCCCAGAATGCAATTTCAGCACTGAGGTCCCTGTTAGACAGTTTTGTATGCCCTTAGCTTCAATCAGAATGATGTACTTTATGAGTTTATTGTAAATGAATAAAAGTGCATATTTGAT